TAGCCAATAGCTAAGCAATAGCTGTACTAGGCAATAGTACAGTCAGATCGATTTCATCAAGGCAATAGCTATGCTTGAATGTTGTCTATAGAAACGTTTCTTTGTTGTTTACAAGTGGCAACGTATGTTTATATGTGTGTTTATATGTTATCTATTTTGAGAAAATAGACATGTGAAGTGACAGATGCTCTGTGTGTCTCCTACGCAATGACTGCGGTTCAGGTTTGCTGTTCATGTCGCATCACTCTGGCTTAAAACCCAGAATATTAACCATCTGCCTGCCAAACTGAATCATTCTCAGATGCAGTGACTGGCACCAAAATTTCCTAGCAGAGTCTCGGCTTCTTATACGTGTCATAGTGGATCAATGTGCTTCATTGATTCAGACGTAACACTGAGCTCGCTTTGCCAAGTGTTAATTAGCTGGTCAGTACACTAATTATATCCTTGCCGATGCCATTACTGGCACTGTTAGTGAAATAGTTAGCCAAAGTTCTCATAGCTGGTTCGTTAAGTTAGCCAGATTCACGACAGGGTTCCATTTATGTCCAGCACAGCAATTTGAAATTCGGCATCAAAAAAGACAAAATTTACCAAATTCATCAATTCATCAAAATTCACCAAACTTTCATTGATTGACTATTTAAATTTCACTGAAATAAAGAATTTAACAAATGCATGCAGACATGTATAATTAAGTAATAACAGTAATTTAATGTATACTATATTTACAGTCACTTTTCATTTTACTATTGTTTATTGATTGTCACATTATCCAATATATTTAAGTATGTGTGTGTGAGTATGAGTGTGTGAGTATGAGTGTGCGTGTGTGTGTGTGGGGGGGGGGAGTACATGGCATTTTCTCTATTTAAAGTAGCACTTAGCCTTTAGGTAAATGACTAAATAAAGATGGACAGGGCGCTTTGTTAAATGGCATCTTTGGACGGCTTTGCTCATTTCTTCCATTTTCATCTTCGCTGAAAAACTTCAGTGACTTTTTCAACCTCAGCTCAGCTCCATTGCTATACACTTTTCATTTTCTCTTTACACCTGAGCTAAACCTGCAGCTTTGCGGCCATTAGATGAACACTTTTCATCAAAAATCCACTCAAGATCGTGCTAATTCATTAGACGACCAGGGTAAAGGTCTGTTCACAACACGCTCACACGTCCTACTGGCCTAAAAGAGCTTAGAAATGGACAATAAAAGCCTTTTTTATTCCAGCACCTGGTCTGATCCACTTAACGCCGTGCAGATTCCTAAATTTGAAAAGATGTAGTCCATTAAATCTGATTTATTGTTTAATAAAGTAATTATTATTTCAAAGAGGGTGAATGTTCTATATTCATAAAGGAGCAGACATGCAATGAATGTAAGCCAGTAATGTTAATTTGTAGCTAAATCACTTTCATTCATTGTTATCAAGTTTATTGCATTATTGACAGAAACCGTTCCTTTAAAGCTGCATGTTGTCAAAAATAGTTTCTACCTGTTAACAAATTGACCAGAATTTCACAGGTTGCATAAAAATATCCATGCAAACTGTTGCCTGCAGTTTTTTAAGTAGGCTGAACTCTTCATTTTTCACAGTGCAGGGAGTCTCTGGGCGTTTATCTGACTTCTGCTATTTTAATGATGCAGCAGTGAAGAGGCTGTCATCTTCCAACAAGGTGGACTAGCATAAAGTGACATAAAGTCAGTAACATTACAGCGTAGGACGACTGCCAAAGACACGCAAGACAAACTGTCCAGCACCATAAACATCCATATTCCCTGGCCACTTTATTATAAACTCCTCTTTTGTTCTTCCACTCACTGGCCACTTTATGAGCTCCACCTACCTTATAGGTCCACTTTACAGATGTACAATTACTGACTGTAGCCCATCTGTTGCTGCACTATTTATCAGCCTCCAGCTACCCCATCTATCACTGCTCAGTTTCTGACCACAGCTGACCAGATATTGTTTGGGTGCTGGATCATTTTCAGCACGGCAGTGACACTGACATGATTGAAGGGCCCATTTTAGCCAAAACAGAATCTTCCTTACTTTTTTTGAAATAAAAGATTTTGATGTAGTGTACACTCGTACGCAAAATAAGTTAGCACATCTTCTGCAAGGAACTAAATACGGCAAAGTTCTTTAACTTTTAGTCACAACTTCTATTTATTTGCTGAGCTTGATATATTGTGGGAGAGGGGGTATAAAATATATGCCATAAATTTTGCACAGTACTTAAAACCATGCAGATAGTAGGTAAAATATGTAGCACATAGCAAAACGATGGTTAACAAATTGTCCTATCCATGCTCTGCCCATGTTTTCTTTCATAGGTTATACTGCAATGTTAGCTTAGCTTACTAGAAATGCTGAAACAGCTGAAGCCACTGAATGTTTTACTCATCCCATCAGACAGATATTTGTCTCCAAAAACCTTGATTGCATGGAAAAAGAGTGTATATAGAGCGTATAAAATGTTTAAGAGTAATCTAATAACGCCAGTGTTTACCATTGTTTCCCAAAGCTTTCTAAAGCTCATCCAAACTCACAACAGTAGCTGTGAATGAATGCATTTGTAGGTGGAGCACTGAAAGGACAACAGTGCATCAACAGATGGGCCAGAGTCTCTGACTTTCCACCAGCAAGGTTGAGCTACTAGGGAGGGGTTTCTAATAAAGTGGCCAGTGCCTGTGTAGTTGCCTATTTATGACAATACATCAGCAGTGCATTAAAGAAAACTGATAAAATCTGTCTGGAAAAGTGACGCCACCGAGTAGGATTTCATAGGTAATCTCCATGGTGATGGAACAGCGCTGCCCTTGGGCCCTTTTTGCCCGTAAAATGGGCCGTTTGGATCAAAGGGGCGTTTCCATCCTCCCCCAGTCCAGAATACACTATAAACTGTAATATATTACACTCCTGCATTATTGAATATCCGTGACCCGCCCGGCCCTACCCAAAATAAGCTTTAACCCCTTGGGGGGTGTTATAAAGAAAAAGGCTCCATATTATCTTGTATTATTATTTTTATTTTTATTATTATTATTATTATTAATTTGATTCAACTGTACATACAAATAAAGGCAAACTTGATTTCATTTAAAATCAACAAAGCAGTACAGAAATAAAAAGGTAATTGAAAAGGCAATGTAGTGACGAAAAAGGTTATTTTAAAAAACAATATATAACATCATGAGGCTAATGTATGTAATAAGTAATAGACACATAAAACCCACCGATTAGCACCATGTAAACTGCACGGCCCAAATCCTCAGACACATCAAACTGCATAGAGTTGTTAATCAATATCTAAGATACTATCATTTGAGTACACTGGCAGTAAACTGTTCAAATTTGATTTTTGCTGAACTAGCCCTTAGCTGTATTAGCTGTATAGAATGTTAAAAAGCAAAAACACGTCCTATCCATCTCAGTGCTGAGTGCTAAAGCTAACAGTAACCGTATTCATTAACTCATTAAAACAGAGGAAAGTAAAGCTTTTCATAGCACACATCATGATCCTCACGCGCAGCATCTCCAGCAGGACGGGTGGGTGTCTCTCTGTCTCGTGTCTCGGTTCAGCTCGCCTGTTTTCCTGTCGTCCTGCAGGTGGCGCTGTTTACCGCAGCACGGCCCAGATTCTCCCTCCAGCGCCTCCAGCATCAGCTTCGTTCAGCCGCCTCTAATCACTCACCTGCAGCAACGAGGGGGCATTTACTGAGTGTGTCGAGCTGCTTTTTCATTTTGTTTTATGTTTAATGCAATATTTACATATTTATTATTTTGGTATTTTTAGCACGATTATTACAGCAGAACAGGACAGAATGGGACGCTTTACTGTTGCAGCTGAGTTTAATGATTAGGGTTAAAATAATAGCAAAATATTTAAAAAGGATCACAGTACATACTTTACAGATTTCCATATAGAGGCAGAAATACAGACCAAACATATCTGATATATAATTGTGCATAAAATTCCCACTGTTCATAATTGTGTATATGTACTTTTTCTATCAGAGCTGAGTGTGTTATCTGACCTTTTTAATGGGCAGTCAGGGGTAGCAGCTTCACATCTATCTATCCATCTATCTATCTATCTGTCTATCTGTCTATCTATCTATCTATCTATCTATCTATCTGTCTATCTGTCTATCAAACACACACTCTCTCCCCCTTAGTCTCTTATCCCTTTTTTTAATGAAAGGTCTTGAAAGTCATAGTCTTAGTCTCTCTCTCTCTCTCTCTCTCTTTCTCGCTCTCTCTCTATCTATCTATCTTTCTCTTTCTACTCTCTCTCTCTCTACTCTCAGTATCTCTTTCATTCTTTCTTTCCTCTTCCTCTTTCTTCCCCCTCTATTTATCTGTCTGTCTGTCTATCTGGCTATGTATGTATGTATCTATCTGTCTATCCATCCATCTATCTATCTATCTCTCTGAAACACTCACACAGAGACTGCCCCCTTCGCCCTCCCCATTGCCCCCAGTTTCGCGCTGCAGGGGCAGTTTGGATCTGCAGCATCTCTCTCTCTCTCTCTCTCTCTCTCTCTCTCTCTTTCTCTCTCTCTCGCTCGCTCGCTCGCTCTCCTGCGCTGATTCTGTCCAATCACACTCCAGCCCTGCCCTTCACGAGTAGGCTGCCCAATGCCCCGTGCGCGGGGGCGTGGTCTCCTCTGTCCAAGCCCCGCCCCCTCTGGGCATACTCCGAGTTGGAGCGGAGACGCAGCCATGAGGAGTCGCGCGCAGCTGGGAAAGGGACCTAAACCTGAGCTCCACTGTCTCCTCATGGGATAGCTGATGCGTGAGTGTGTGTGTGGACGTGTACGTGTGTGTGTGTGTATGCGTGCGTGCCGGAGGCTGGAGGACACACCGTGTGTGTGGAGGTGAGGAGCTGCGTCCTCTTACCTGGTCACCTGCGGTCTCCACGTTTCCCTCGCGCCCTCACAGTATCTGAGACTGTATTTGTTGCTTCTCGAGCAGAAACTGTTGGATTCCTCCTCATTTTGGACACCTGCTGGAAAACGGAACAAGGATAATGCTCGTGAACGTGCTTCCCCTGCGTGGATCCGCGCTCCAAACGCACCGAGATTAGAGGCGAAAGAGTCGGTAAGGAAACGCACCGCTTTAACTGTCTGAACCCACAAACTCAGCATCACTTGCTCTACATTGCAGCGCTGTGAAAACGTTAAGGTGTCTTTTATTCGCAATGCACATCACTTACATTGCCGTACAGCGCTGTGCAAACGTTAACGTGTGGCTTTATTTTGTAGTGCATGTCATTTATACCACCGTGTAACGCAAGGGAAGCCTTAACGTGCGTTTTTTATTTTTTATTTATTTATTAATTTATTTATTTTTTGCAGTGCACAGCCTTGCTACTTGTACCAAACGAGGTCTGTGTGTCTTTAAACTTGGGCAGACAGGCACGGGCGTTTGGACAGATGCACTGCATGAGTCGTAATGCACATTATTATGGGGAAGGTGCTGAAAGACGATGCTAAGAGAGCAGCCGCATTATCTCACAGTCCTTGGGTGGAAAGGACAGATATTTACCAGGAAACACGATCACGCAGGGAATGTCATGATAATAAACATCTGTTTTGCCCATGTAGGCTGGCAGCTAGTCCGTAATATCCAGGGCTGCCTTTGTCACTCTGAAAGTCGTCATGTCACTGAACTATTTGTAATGAGTCCACAGGCTATAATATCAAAAATGCATTGATGTCAATGCCAGATATGTATGTGAACATTGCTGTGCATCAATCTTTTTATCTGACACATAATTATAGGCTTGTCTATAATAGGATTATTTCATGAAGACCTGTATTGTAATATTGTTTATTCGTAGGGTTGCGCTTGGCTGCTCCTTATCTGCGAACGCACGGGTCCATGAATCCTTGGCTGTGACCACGTTGCATGGGGATAACTGTTTTGAAATAAAAGCAGAGGGGAACACGATTGAACTGCTGTCATGGATTTAAAGGATTTCTACTTATTGGCAACCTTAGTCGCTTGCCTGTGGCTAGACCCAGCCATAGCCCAAGAGCTAATTTACCCTATCCGGGAGGAGCTGCAAGAGAACGTTCTTATTGGAAACATACCAAAGGACTTGAACATCTCCCATATGAACGCTGCCACCGGGGCCAGCAACAATCTGGTTTACCGGCTGGTGTCGAAAGCAGGGGACAACCCACTACTGAGAGTGATGAGCAACACAGGGGAGATTTTTACCACCTCGAACCGGATCGATAGAGAAAAACTCTGCCCGGGACCCTCGTACGAGGACAGCGAGTGCTCGTTCGAAATCGAAGTGGTCATACTGCCCAACGACTACTTCCGATTGATCAAAATCAAGATCGTCGTAAAGGACACCAACGATAATGCCCCAATGTTCCCCTCCCCGGTGATCAACATTTCCATTCCTGAAAACACGCTCATCAACAGCCGCTTTGCGATTCCCTCCGCTACCGATCCAGACACAGGACCCAACAGTGTTCACAAGTATGAGCTGGTGAACGGCCAGAGCGCCTTCGGCTTGGATATCGTGGAGACGCCAGAAGGAGAGAAGTGGCCACAGCTCATCGTCCAGCAGAATCTCGACAGGGAGCAGAAGGACACGTATGTGATGAAAATCAAAGTGGAGGACGGTGGCAACCCTCAGAAATCCAGCACTGCCATCCTCCAGGTCACGGTAACTGACGTCAATGACAACCGGCCAGTTTTCAAAGAGAGCCAGATAGAAGTTCACATTCCTGAAAGTTCTCCGGTTGGAACTTCTGTTGTGCAGCTGCAGGCTACAGATGCAGATGTTGGTTCCAATGCAGAAATCAAATACATGTTTGGCACCCAAGTATCTCCCGCCACAAGGAGGCTCTTTGCACTGAATGCCACCACCGGCCTTATAACAGTGCAGAGGCCGCTAGATAGGGAAGAGACAGCCATTCATAAACTGTCAGTTTTAGCGAGTGATGGGAGCTCCAGTCCAGCCAGAGCCACCGTAACGATCAATGTGACCGATGTGAATGATAACGCTCCAAACATAGACCTGAGGTACATTATCAGTCCTACCAATGGTACTGTCATGCTGTCTGAAAAAGACCCCATTAACACCAAGATTGCTCTTATCACTGTCTCTGATAAGGACACCGACGTCAATGGGAAGGTGATTTGCTTCATTGAAAAAGACGTGCCCTTTCACCTCAAAGCAGTCTATGACAACCAGTATTTGTTAGAAACCTCAGCTTTGCTTGATTACGAGGGCACCAAAGAGTACATTTTCAAAATTGTTGCTTCTGACTCTGGAAAGCCCAGTTTGAACCAGACAGCGCTGGTTAGGGTGAGACTGGAGGACGAGAACGATAATCCACCCATTTTTAGCCAGCCTGTTATCGAACTAGCGGTCATGGAAAATAACCCGCGTGACTTATTTCTCACAACCATCACTGCCACAGACGAAGACAGTGGAAGGAACGCTGAAATCGTCTACCAGCTTGGTCCCAATGCCTCTTTCTTTGACCTTGACCGCAAAACAGGGGTGCTCACTGCATCCAGAGTGTTTGACAGAGAGGACCAAGAGCGTTTCTTATTCACCGTCACAGCGAGGGACAACGGTACCCGTGCTTTGCAAAGCCAGGCGGCGGTTATCGTCACTATTTTAGATGAAAATGACAACAGCCCCAAATTCACACATAATCACTTTCAGTTCTTTGTGTCCGAGAACCTGCCCAAGTACAGTACGGTCGGAGTGATAACAGTCACAGATGCAGATGCGGGCGAAAATGCTGTGGTTTCCCTCTCCATACTTAATGATAACGAAAACTTCATCCTTGACCCTTACACTGGGGTCATAAAGTCCAACGTGTCCTTCGACAGAGAACAGCAAAGCTCCTACACCTTTGATGTCAGGGCTGTAGACAGCGGTCACCCACCATGTTCCTCGGCCGCCAAAGTGACCATCAATGTTATAGACGTCAATGACAACCCACCAATCGTTATCTACCCTCCGTCTAACACTTCCTTCAAGTTAGTACCGTTATCCGCGATTCCAGGCTCAGTGGTTGCTGAGGTTTTCGCCGTGGATGGAGATACAGGAATGAACGCGGAACTGAAGTATACCATTGTCAGTGGCAACAACAGGGGACTTTTCAGGATTGATCCCGTGACTGGGAACATTACCTTGGAGGAGAAACCTACAGTCATGGACATTGGCCTCCATCGGCTAGTGGTCAACATTAGTGACCTTGGTTATCCGAAGTCCCTGCACACTCTGGTTCTTGTTTTCCTCTACGTGAATGACACTGTTGGAAATTCATCCCACATCTACGACCTAATCCGCCGGACGATGGAGACGCCGCTGGACAGGAACATCGGCGAAAGCAGTGAGGCTTATCCAAATGTCGATAACTTAAAGACCATCATCGCCATTGTAACAGGTGCAATGGTGGTCATTGTGGTCATTTTTATTACTGTTCTGGTGCGATGCCGCCATGCTTCGCAGTTCAAAGCCGCTCAAAGGAAGAAGCAAGGCGCTGAGTGGATGTCGCCCAACCAGGAGAACAAGCAGAACAAGAAGAAGAAGCGCAAGAAAAGGAAGTCGCCCAAAAGCTCCCTGCTGAACTTTGTCACCATTGAGGAGAACAAACCCGACGATCCAACGCACGAGCCCATCAATGGCACCATTAGCATCCCTGCCGAGCTGGAAGATCCTGGGATCGGACGCTTTGACTGGAATGCTACGCCGACCACCACCTTCAAGCCCAGCAGTCCTGACTTGGCAAGGCACTACAAGTCCGCCTCGCCCCAGTCCGCTTTCCACCTCAAGGCTGACACTCCGGTGTCCGTGAAAAAGCATCACGTCATTCAGGAGCTGCCGCTCGACAACACTTTCGTCGGAGGTTGCGACACGCTCTCCAAGCGCTCCTCCACCAGCTCAGACCACTTCAGTGCCTCGGAGTGCAGTTCCCAAGGAGGCTTCAAGACAAAGGGTGGGACCTTACACACCAGACAGGTAAAAGAGCACTTTTACTGGTCTATAAGTACTGCATATAACTGCCCTGTTCAGTACTAAAGTGCCAGTCCTAGCTTAGTTGCTCTGATTTATGCATCTGATAAATGTAGGACAAAAAAGCAACAAATTAGAACCTTCCCCTCACCCATACATGTAATTCATGTACTTTTATACCAAAAAAAAACCCTGAGCAATGGTTGGACTCGAAAGGAATCAGGCAATTTACATTTTGTTATCCGCTTACCTCATGCATTTGTGTTTTGTTTGTTTCTTGTGTTATTTATTTATATATCTCTAAAACAATGGAGAAGTAATGGTAACTAAGTTGGTGAGAGTCGAAAATGCAAGTTAACTTCCGAAGAGACGGGGATTTTGTGCTGCTCAGTTGTCATTGTTGTGCAAACGTACAGTGCTGTCAGAAATTTGTGAAAGAAACATTTTTTTCTCGCCTGTCTACTTCGATCACCACTCTATCACTTTGGCATTTAAAACCCCATGAAAACACAAAGAAGAAATAAAATAAATATACTCATCTGTTTTCTCTTAGCAGCATCAAAGAAAACATAACTTGTTTGAGTAATGATTGTGCTTTTGTTTTTGTGCGTGAACATCTCAGTAGGTGTGTGCCTCTACGTTCCCTTTGAAATTTCCTAAGCTTGAAACCTTTCTTCCTTTGCTAGCACTACCACTGCTTTAGCACTGACCCCTTAATTAATCTTGTAACGTAACCAGGGAGATAGACACTGCGCTAACCTGCCACACAAAGCGTGTTTTTTTTTCTTTTCTTTCTCTCCGGCAGCGTGTCTGTTTCGGTGGAAAGTCAGTAGCTCGGTAGAATATGCTCGTGAAGTAACCTAGGCCATTAAGGTAGAACCGTATCCAGTCCAAAGCGGATTAGCCATTAATAAGTCTCAAATATCAATCTAATCCATTGCTTCAAAGCCTCATTAAAATGGGATGCTTGTTATGAGGCAAACAGAAAAAGCTCTTGTTGTGGAATGAGGGGAGAAGGTTCGGAGAAAGAGAGATGGAAGGAAAGAGAGAAGGAGGGAGGGAAGGAGGGAGGGAGGGAACATTACCTTTAGGTGGCACTGTTGTTCTGTAAGGCATAGACTGGCTCTGAGCCAACATGCTAGTGTGTATGTATGTGTGTATGTGAGTGCATAATACCAAGGGAGATGGAGGAGAGTCTCTCCCTCTCTCACTCTCACTCTCTCTTTCTCTCTCTCTCTCTCTCTCTCTCTCAGTCTCTGAGTCTATGGGTGTGCGTGTGGTAGCGTCTCCCTCAGCTAGCATCTCATGCCTAACGACAGGCTGAATGCGCAGCAGATTGATAATGGCAGTCGCAGATGTAAATGATAAGGCTTGACCATTTGAGAGCGGGAGAGGGCACACACACACACACACACACACACACACACACACACACACACACACACCTACACACACACAAACACAGACATACACACACAGTGCTTCCAAATGATGTGCACTCCCGGGTCAGCGCATTGAGGATCGTGTGTAATTTTCTTTAGCGTGAAAGACACGCAAACAAAAGCCCGCAGCTCAGCTAATGGAGGCGCGTGGCCGGATGGCGAGGGCTGAGCACAGAGCCCGGTTCAGCATGCGTGTGTGTGTGTGTGTGTGTGCGTGTGCATGTGTGTGTGTGCGTGGGCTGCAGGGATCAGCCAAATGTCTCCAAGCAGACCTCATGAGACATGGCACCTCTGTGTGTAACCTCATTCTTTCCCTCCGGCTGCCAAGTATGAAAATGCAAAGAGCTCGCCGCTCCGTCTGTGGACGTTTACAAATGAAAGCATCTGCTGTCGTTATTAGTGCTGCAAGAATTAGTTGGCAAAAATGGGATTAGTCAGACGCAACACGAACTGTGAAAAAACACTGCTTAAAAACAGAGCACTCTCTAATGATCTATAACGGTCAGCCCGACAGATTGTACCACGCCACAGGTAACGTTTGGGCCAATATGGCTTCTGTGGTTCGGTTATGACATGATAGAAGAAATCTGAGGTGTCTTGAAGTGAAGGCTGCAGTCGAGGCAGGAGGGACCTTCATGGGACTAGGACTGGTATAGGGAGGCTCCTCTCCGGTGCTGTATTGAGACAGGCTGAGTAGGCCGTACCGATACAGCACGGCTTATTGAAGTAAACAACTCGACCCGTTTAAACTATTAAATTCATGACGTTTCATTACAGACTCTGGTGCCACAGCGTATCACTACTCATGGCTGTAGTTCCACCATTTTTCCTATTGCTCTGAGCTGTGTGTGAGGGATTTGGGTGAACGAAGAGTCCTGCAATACGGGACAGTCTTCGCTGACCTTCCTCAGCTGCATTGTTAACTTTGAGACATGGCTATTGTGTGCTGCATAGGGAATGTTGAACAATGGTGGGCATAGTGAGAGAAAACAGCAGAAAGCTTAATGGTTCACTTTATCAGGTTATTGAACAGTTTTCGACTATCAGCATATTTAACGTGATTCCCTAGCCAATATGCATATATATATATATATATTTATATATATGTCGCTGCTGTCGGAAAAACCTTGTATCTTCAAAATGGTAACTTTACAAAAAAAACATACTTTACTTTTAATGTAAGTCAAGTTTGTTTTGGTCCAGTCATCAGGAACTTCACCCATAATGTAAAGGGCATTAGGTATTTTCAAATTATGTCAAAACCTGAAAAATGACATGGAGATACAAGGTTTTGTTCCAACGACAGCGATATATAAATTAAGGTTAAAGGTAAAATTTAGGACTGTCTGGATTAGCATTATTGAGATATGTAACATCTATTTCTATGGAGTTCCAAATGCAGTAAAATGGAAAGAATTGAGAGATTTTAGCGTAATAACCCAGTGTGGCATGATAACCCAGTGTGGCATGAACGTTCTCCTCTTCCAAAGTAAAATATATTATAAATACATCATAAATATTGTTTTGAAATATTAATCAAATCCTTACATCTGTCCTGTGCCAATAATTTATAATGTATGCAATTATATGTCAATACCAATGCATGAGTGACCTGGCTTTATGTTGTAAAACTTTCATGCTGCTAGTTTCACGCAACTAGAAACATAATTTCAAAGCAAAATGAGTCGATTGCAACACATTTGATTATTCCACTGCTTAGCGAGAATATTAGCTAGAACATTTCATATAGTTCTCTATAAATGGCAATAACAGCAGGCTAGTGAAGCAGAGTGAACACTGGCGCGAGCAGCTGATGTCCGTCATGTTAACATATACTGGTTAAGCAAACTTGTTACCAGCAAATAAGCAAAGATATTTGTTAAGTTTCGCAAAAAGCTGGCGTTTTGTCATGATTCATATGACTCACAAAATGAGAAGCTGCTTTATTTTCTAGTTCATGATGTTTCACTGGAAATCAGTCGATTGAAACTCTGTTGTTTGGCATCATCACTTGGTTTATTATCTGCATTCTGACTGGCTGTTACGAAACTTATTTTGCAGCTGAGAGATGCAGCTGTTATTCCGAATTGCTGGCGGCTTTACGTTAATCTCCATTTAATTTTAGTTTCAAGCAACTAAAGTCTCCACCAGTGTAAGGCGAGCCTTGGACACGCATCCTGTTTTCCATGTTTTCTCTCGGGACTGTGCTGCGCGGAAATAGAAAATGCCCATGTGGTGTGACAGCAACTGGAGAGAGTGTGTGACCTCCGTCTGCTAAGCTATAGCCCAGCGTCCGAGTCTCTACATGCACTTCGTGCTTTGGGTATGACTCAGTGGTCCAGAACAATAGCGGCCACTGTACAGCTTCAGAGAGATGAAATAAACCACAGTGTGAGCTGCTCTTTTCACCGGGTCCAGCAGGGTCACAACCTCAGCACTAGCTTCCTCTGTCTCTCTCTCTTTCTTTCTCTTCTCTCTTTCCTTCTTCATCCCCACTTCCTCTCCTCCCCTCCTGTCCTTCTCTGATCTCCGCCCCCTCTTTCTCTTTACTGTGACAAATAATGCTATATTTGTGGCTTCTTCCAAAGCCACACACTGCCATTCTATACACACTGTACTAAAGATTGCACTACTTGGTTTTGTACTACTTTGACATACTTTTGATTATGGTAGTATGTGGTTTTGGATGCAGCCAGAGTTATTAATTAATTAACAAAATAATTCTTAATGCTATAGTGATAATATTGGAAACAATGGGAAAAAATGAGGATTAATTCATAAATATGCACTCTTCATACTCTCTACTCTCTCTCCTCTCTCTCTCTTTCTCCATCTCTTCCCCCTTTTTTATATTCTCAACTTTCTCTCCTATTTCCCTTTGTTTACTTTCTCTCTCTCTCTCCCCATTTTCTGTCACCCCTTCACTTTTCTAGCTCCTTATATCTCCCTCTCTATTCTTCCTCCCTCTCCCTGTCTTCTCTTCCTTCTCTATCTTTCTGTTTCTCCACTGTCTCTCTTTCTCCTCCTCTTTCTTCCTTCTCCTCCTCTTTCTCTTTCCCTGTCTCTCCCTTTTTCTCCTCTTTCTCTCTCCACTCTCATCCTGTCACATTTACTTGTTCTCCATCTCCCCTTTACTTTCCTCTCTATCTTTTTGTATCTCTCCCTGTCTCTGTTTTTTTCCTCTCCCTCTCTTTCTTGCTCTCTCTTCACTCTCTCCTCCTCTCCTTGTCCAGGCCATTTTGCCTGAGGTTGTTCCCTCTCTCTCTCTCTCTCTCTCTCTCTCTCTCTCTCTTTCCCCTTTCCGTCTACCTGCGCTCACTATTGTTCTGTCATTCCTCTGTCTCCCTTTCTCCCTCTTTCTCTCTCTCTACTTTCCTTCCCTCTCCATCTGTCTCTCTTCCTTCTTCTCTATCTCGTTCTCTCTCGTTTTCTCATCTTCTTCTCTCTCTCCTCTCTTGCTTCTAATCATCTATCTCATCTTTTACATCCCTCCCCCTTTCTTTCCCTTTCTGTCTTCTCTATCTCTCTCATTCCACTAATTCCTTCTCTTTCTTATCTCTCTTC